TTAAAAACAAATAAAATGTGTCTCATAAATTTAGACTCACTTTTTCTATCTTTATTTCCATATAAGTGCTTAACCTTTTTTTTTAAAGATTGTAATTCTAACATGGATCAAAATATATTTTCTAAAATATTATGTTTAAATCCATTTAAAAATTAAATTATTTACTAACTTAGTGCACGCTAATCAAAATATACAATTTTTACTCATTATTTGCATTTAAAATATTTAGAAAATGGGTAAAACATCAGTATCAAAAGAAATCAAAGAAAGAATTATCACCTTGCACCTTGCTGGTAATTCTACAAGAAAAGTTCAGTTGATTCTCAAGAACGTATCACAGTCATGTGTCACTAAAACAATAGCTAAGTGGAAAAAAACAGGTAGCACATTAGATAAAATCAGATCCCGAAGACCCAGAAAAACAACTACCACTGATGATAATAGTATATACAGAATTGCCAGAAAAAATCCTAAGTATAGTGCCAAACAAATTGCTCAAGAAATAAATCTAGCTCTTAAAAATGACATCTCAAGGCAGACAGTAAATAGAAGATTAATTGATCGTAAACTATGCTCGTATACTGCTGCTAGAAAACCAATGCTTAAAAGATCAGATCGACTCAAACGGCTACAATTTTGCAAGAAAATTCTTAAGATGAGTGATAGTGATATAAAAAAAATTGTATTCAGCGACGAATCGAATTATGCAGTCGTTAATCGAAAAAAAAGAGTAACTGTTCGAAGACACCATAATGAGAAATTTCATAATCGTTTCATTGTACCTCGGTTACAGGGCGGAGGAGGTTCAGTTGGGATCTGGGGTTGTATCACGTATGATGGACCCGGACTATGCTACTTGTACACTGGTAGAATGGATCAATACAGATACATTGAGACGCTTGAAAATAATTTGATTCCAACAAGAGACTTATTTTTTGGAGATGAGCCAGAATGGAAATTTCAGCAAGATAATGCCCCTTGTCACAAAGCAAAAACAGTAACAGCTTGGTTTAAAGAAAATAAAATCAATTTACTCCAGTGGCCAGCTAGATCGCCAGATTTAAATCCAATGGAAAATGTATGGTCTGTGCTTGATCGAAAACTGACCAAAGCTCCTGTAACTTCAGCTGAAGAACTACGAAAAAGTTTAAAAGAGTTGTTTGATGGCTTGTCCTTTGAATATTGTCGAAATCTTTTTGAATCTATTAAAAGAAGATGTAGACTTTGCATAGCTAACAAAGGCGGTCACATACCTTATTAACTTGACTTACAGTTTAAAGTGAAAAGTCCTGAGTCTAAACTTATGAACAAGATTTTTATAGATATCTTTTTACATGATTTTGCTATTTTCAAAATAAAATACTTTAAACTTGTTTTTCTTTTCAAGTCTTTTATATATATTAAAGAGAATTTCATAAATAATAAACTGGATTAAAAATAAAATTAAAAACAAAACAAAAAAGGCATTTTTTTAAATCACAAATCACTAAGAAACTATAAGTTTTATTCTGAGTCTAAACTTTTGATCACTAGTGTATATATATATATATATATATATATATATATATATATATATATATATATATATATATATATATATATATATATATATATATATATATATATATATATATATATATATATATATATATTTATTTATTTATATATATATATATATATATATATATTAGAATAATAATAAAGCACAATTAAAGTTGTATCATTACTTGGAGTTTCACGCTTTATGCAATCATCAGACATTACAAACAACCATAACAACAACAAAAATTATATACAAAATGTGAATAAGTGAAATTTAAAGTGTAAATCATGCTTTGTAAATCAATGGTATCACTTACACCTTTGTAAATCATGCCATTGATTTACAAGGGTGGCTTTTCTTACTTTATTGTTGATGTTATCCATTATAATTATACTTACCTATACAAGTTCTGGTTTAGATGGATTTAATACTTAATCAACATTAAGTAATGTTAGCAAAATCATATGATCCTATATTGTTATAAATATGGTTTTCATAGCAAAACATTCCATTCTGTTGTCAATACCTAAGTCTTTAGCAATTACTTTAACCCCATTGTTAATGTTATTATATTGCAAATTATCAGACTTTTTGCATGTTCTGGTTTTTCATTGAAAAGTTTATTGTAAGAAGATTTTTCAAGCTCATAAATATTATGTGATCCTCAAAAAGAAACATTTTTTCTGATGATTTAATTTTGCAAATGTAATTATTTGGTTGTTTTTGAAACTGGTTGTAGGAATTAGTAAAATAAATATTTTGTATCATAAGTAGATTGTTTTCGAAACTTACTAGATCCGGATGTTGAGGTGGACATTTTCTTATTTTAAAATTACAGTGGTAATCGGGTTCTTGGTTAGAATTTTTCTCACAAATTAGAGCTTTCCATCTCATATGTTTGATCACTTATTCGGCTTTTTCAGTTAAGTATTTATGTAATTTCTTTGTTGGTATTGGTATGTTCTTCATTGAGTAGTTAAAGGAATATTGTTCCATATTCCAAAATTGCTTATAGAATTATTTTTATTATTTAAAAGCACTAATAATAATTAGAGTGCTTAACAACAAAGGAGCGTCAATATACTAGTAATAAAAGTAATTTTTCAGTAGACTACTCAAAACAAAACTAGAGCAAATTATTTTAGAATAATAGTAAAGTACAATTAAATCTGTAACATTACTTGGAGTATCACACTATATGCGATCATCAGACGTAACAAACAACCATATCATCAGGCATTACAAACAACCATAACAACAACAAAAATTATATACAAAAATCCAATACAGTGGTAGCTTTTAGTTAAAGTTGCAGATAACAAATTTGTTTTCATGACGACATAAATTAATATCGAAATGTTGCCACAAAAACAAATTTGTTATCTGCTACTTTAACGTCATCTAAGCTAACACTGTATTGCATTTTTGTATATAATTTTAATTGTTGTTATGGTTGTTTGTAACGTCTGATGATCGCATAAAGAAACTCCGAGTAATGTTACAAATTTAATTTTACTTTATTATTATTATTAGAAATAAAATTAAATAAGAATTAAATTTACAAATAAAAGTCTATTTTAAAACAAAAAAGTCTAATAAACTAGCAACTAAAAGTATGAATAGACTATATTGATATAGATGAAAATAAATGTTCGAAGCAATTTGTAATTTAAAAAAAATAAAAATACCAAGTAGAGAAATATCTGGTAGAATTTTTTTTTTTTTTATTTTACATTACATTTAAATTTTTTGATTTTAACTTTATCTCTTTGTATAGTTTGGATCCAGAAGTCATATAATTTATAATATTTCTTATTTATAAAAAGACATTAAGTGCGTTTTTTATCTCTTCCTGATAAGAAACAGTTCAAAAAATATTTAAAGGTTTACCTAGGCAACAAAACTATGTTAAGAAAATTCATATTATATTATTCCAATCAAGATAAATTTTAATTGGAAACCTATTATTATAGAATTAACAAAAAATAGATTAAAAATTCTTTCTTTAAATAGCTTAGATTTCCAAGGTTCAAATTATAAAAATAATTACAGTATTTTGTGCAAAATTTATGTTTTAATAATTTGCAAAGAAATTGATTTTTTAATAATATTTCTTGAAATAAATTGAATTTAAATAAAAAATACTCAAAAACGTAAATTCCAGAATCAGAAAAACTTATTTTTTTGCATTGCTTTTAAGTGTTTTTTCAATATAAAGTTGCTAATTTATCTATAAAAAAATTCTACAGGTATTTAAAACAAAGAAAGTGCAAAAAAAAAAAAAGAAGAGAAGAAACATCTTCTTATTTGATATACATAATTAAATCTACATATCGGTAATTACGGACAAAAAAAGTTTTTTTTGAAATGAAAATAATAGTAATAATAATCTTATTTAGATTATTTATTAAAAGTTTTTTTTGAAATATAGTATAAATTTATAAAAGTAAAACCTGCGAAAACAAGAAATACTGAACAACACTGAAAGCAAGAAGAAATTGCAGTCTTGTGCTGACAAATGTTGATAATTTATGGGAAGAATCCTGAAAGAGGAATGCAATGGGTAAAAGAAGGAGCATTTCATCTTATTTTATAAATGCCTTTATTTGTATCACAAAAAGATGCTTGCCTTCAGTTCTCAAGTAGGGTGTAGATATTACTTGATCAGAAGAAAGCATATTGCATTTTTCTGGAAGAAAGTATATTGCATTTTTTTATGTTTTCTAAAGAGTATCTTTGTTCAATGAATAAAACTGATGCAGATCAGCTCAAAATTAAAATTGCTAACTGAGTCTAAATCCTGATTTTCATCTTAAAATTAAAGCCTACATTGTGCATAAACTTTTCATTTAGTAGCAAGAAGATCCTTTTTACAAAAAATGTTGAATCATATGTACTACAGTCTGTGCTACAGGCTGTAAAACTTGATCATAATTAGTATTGCTAATAAAACAAAATTATTTTTTATTGTAAGTTGTTGAATATTACAGGAGATAATAATTAAATAAACTTATTGATGTTTTTTTTGTATAAGTTTTTTCCACAAACAAATAACCCAAATATATATATATATATATATATATATATATATATATATATATATATATATATATATATATATATATATATATATATATATATATATATATATATATATATATATATATATATATATATATATATATATATACAACCCTTGAAATTAGGAAAAATGAGGTCGGCAATAATTTGCTGAGTTCAAATATTTTCATGCCGACCCTAATTCTGAGGGTTGTGTATATATTTACATACACACGAGAGAGAGAGAGAGAATGACACACATAATAATAATAATAATACACACACACACACACACACACACAAGAGAGAGAGAGAGAGTGAGAGAGAGAGAATGACATGCACATGGATAAATTATTTATCTAAAATATATCTAATAAGTAAATGAATTTTATTGTAGACTACGCCATATTTTGTTCCTTGATACAGCTGAGCAGTATTGCAGTAAAGATAGCTGGCCACCTGAATCAGATCGTCAGTAAGTTTAATTGTTAAAATTTTTATTTTATGTTAAAAGCTATTTCAAATTTAAGAAATAAACTTTAGTTATAAAAAAAAGGTTAATAAATAAAAATATTCTTAAAAAAATATTTTTATTTTATTTTTTAAATTATTTTATTTTATTTTTTAAGTTGATATAATTATTTTTTTTTTTAATCTTTTTTATTTCTTTTTATAATTATAAACTTAAATATCTAAACAACTTTTTATTAATAAAGGTCATTTTTACAATTGGTTCAAGATGTACCTTTAATGGAAGACTGTTTGATAAGACTGCATTTAATTGGTTTTGCAAATGATCTTCCAATTAATTGTGCAGCCACTCTAGATATTATTGAAAAGGTTGTACTCCGTGCCGCTAAATTAAACTCTGGTAAATATTTATATTTTACTTTTCTTTTATGTCTATTGCAGTGTTTATCATTTGTGTTAATTTTTGGATTGATGCATTGTAGTTGACTTTAAAACGATAAATTTTTTTGGTTTCTAATAATTAAGTAATTGTTTATATATCATGTAGGGAATATACATACATTGACTGTTATAAATAGCTTAAACATGCAGAGTGCCAAGGGTATAAGAGACTGAGGGTGTTGGCTTTGGCAGACAATCTATCAGTTTAAAAAAAGTTTTTACTTAATCAGAAAAAATAAAAATGATCAACAAATGGTATATATGTATATATATATATATATATATATATATATATATATATATATATATATATATATATATATATATATATATATATATATATATATATTTATATATATATATAAAAATAGGGGTATATCAAGGAAAAAATATTTAATTTTTATTATTGAATAAATTTCAGCAGATGCTAATTCTGACTATTTGGTTCATAACTATAGATTCGGATTAATTGGTTAACTAATATTAACATTTTAAAATTCAAAAATAAAGTTAACCACTAATGTTAACTTTGATTTAAATAATAAATAAATAAAAAAAAAAATCCTCATAAAAAATAATAACAATGTTTAGAAGTAATTTTTGATAATCTATAAATATTTTGTTACTTTTTGCTTAGGTAGCTGTGGAATAGTTATTGAGCGAACTGAAGTAATCAATATGCTTTTAAATTTATCTGCCTATACTCATCCAAAAGACATCAATTTGCCTGTTGGGTAATAATTATTGTTGAATTTTTTTTTTTTTTTTTTTTTGAAGAAAAACTTTCAAGATTTTATCTGTTTATTTTTTCTAGTTTTTTTTTTTTTTTTGTTTTTTGTTTTTTGTTTGTTTGTTTCTAATGTTATAAGATACAGGGGCTGATAACACGGGTTTTAAAGTGGAGGGGCACAATTGTCAATATCTAAAAGAAATTCCTCTATATCTAGAAATTTCTTTTTTTTTAAAAAAAAAAACAAGAGGGGACTACCTAGCCTTCCCCCTCCCTCAGTGTTGTTGGCTCTGTAATATTATTATAATTTGTTTTTTTAAACAGTTCAGCTTTTAACTTTATTGTAGATATAATCCTCCAAACCTTTTAACTTTATTGTAGATATAATCCTCCAAATCTTGCAATTAGTAACTTATATTGGAAGGCATGGTGGGTGCTGCTGGTGCTAGTTGCAACAAATCCTTCTACAATAGGTAAATATATTTTAACTACATTTTTACATTTTTATCTTTCTTACTATTTGTCTTGTTGTTTTATCCCCTTTTTTTCATTTTAGAGTTGTATTTTATTAAAATGAGGGGTAGGTAAAAACAAGAAGGATAAAAAAAGGGATTTTTTTTGGATGCCTGTATTTTCTAGGATTCTAGGATTCCATTACAGTAATTTAATATTGTTAACAGTGATTTTAACTGCAATTTTTATACTTTACAATTTTTTTTATCCATATATACAATTTTTTTTATCCATGTTTAAAGGTTTTCTAAATAAAAGTAAAGATTTTAAAGTAGTATAATAAAATAATATCTTCTTCCATTGAAATTTTTACATTAAAAACATAATATCTTTTTCCATTAAAATTCTTACATTAAAAAAATAATATCTTCTTACATTGAAATTCTTACATTAAAAGTTCTTATAATTACAATTTTCCCTTGATTTTGCATATATATATATATATATATATATATATATATATATATATATATATATATATATATATATATATATATATATATATATATATATATATATATATATATATATATTTGCATTATATATATATATATATATATATATATATATATATATATATATATATATATATATATATATATATATATATATATATATATATATATATATATCAAAGCCACTAAACATTTGACAGGTCCCTAATATTATTGAAAAAAAAATTATTGAAAAATATGTCAACTTGGCACTCAAAAGAAGCAAAATCATTTAAAAATTTCAAAAACAAAAAGTATTTTTTATAAAAAAAACAATATTAGGTTTTTTTGAATAAAATATGGTTTTTAAACGAAAAATGAAAAAAAGGTAATATTCACAACATTTTTAATAATAAGTTTTTTTAAGTTGTTTTTTATAAAAAATAAATCTAATTTTTAAAATTTTTATAAAATTTTGCTTCTTTTGAGTACCAAGTTGACATATTTTTAAATAATTTTTTTTTTAATAATATTAGGGACCTGTCAAATGTTTAGTGGCTTTGAGGGACCTTTAGGGCAAATAATAAAATTTAGTAAAAATTATTTTTGAACCACAATATGATAGTTGAATGGGAAAAACTTCAATTAGCAATGTTCTGAAAACAAATTAGCATACTGAACAGCCAATATATATATATATATATATATATATATATATATATATATATATATATATATATTGCATGTATTATATATATATATATATATATATATATATATATATATATATATATATATATATATATATATATATATATATATATATATATATATATATATATATATGCAAAAAAATGTCTGTATACAAAGCCAGTAGCATTCTGAAAGCATTAAAACATTGTTAAGGAATAAATGAAAATATCTGTCAAATTTTTTATTTTATATTTGTTAATTTTTATAATTTAAATTATATATTTATATTTGTGTTAATGAGATCATAAGGTTGTGCAATTGATTGCCACTATATTACATAGAAATGTTTGTGATCTACAAATTTAATGAAGCTTAGTGACTAATGCAAAGAGGAAAAACTTCATGATCACCGACTGATCTTGTTTTTGCAACTGTAAGACCCAGTAATGGTCACTCAGTCCATTTAATTTATAAAGTAATATATGATGTAATATTGGATAAGATTGCTTTAGCTTCATAATTTTGTGAGTGGTTGGATAAATATCAACAACTCCTGTGCCTGAATGCAATGAGAATAGCTCACCAGAATACCCAGTTAGTGCAAATGTTGGTGACAGTAATGATGATTTGATCTATTTGACTTATGTCAAGGTAAATCCTGAGGTGCGTAAGATCACTTAGGCACATGATTGACATCTTGAAGGTATCTGCCTCAAAAAAGTTCCTAAATTGAATGATCTTCGTCTTTGGGCATTGTTAAGATCTATGGTGCCAAATCTCAGAAATTTGCATAATCTGTAATTTCTACATCCTAAATCGACTCAATTACTAAAAATTATTGCAGGTTTTTGTAAATTCTTTTAGTTGTATTATTTACAACTTTAGGGGTATTGTGTTTATTAATAAATAAAATAGTAATAATTGTATTGAATTATTAAATATTGACAGTTATATTGATTTTGTTCAAGTTGTTGAATTTTGTTTATTTAGACATAAAAGTTATGCAAATGAAAAGTTGTTATACTTTTCATTTGCATTTTGATGACTAAAAATTCGAAACCAATTAAATAAAACTCTTAAAAAATAATAATAATAATAAAACTCTTAAAAAAAAAACAAAAAAATAAAACTCTTAAAAAAAAAACAAAAAAATAACTCTTAAAAAAATAACAATGAAAACATTTGAGCAAAGCAAAAATAAAATAGATGAGTTTTTTCCTAATATGTCATATTTGGAAAAAAACTCTCATACCATTCAAAGTTAAAACCCATTTCTTACTATTCAAAGTTAAAACCTGTCTCTTACCATTCAAAGTTAAAACCTGATTCTTTCCATTTAAAGTTAAAACCTGTCTCTTACCATTCAAAGTTAAAATTTGTCTCTTACTATTCAAAGTTAAAACCTGTCTCTTACCATTCAAAATTATTGAGATTGACAAATACAAATTTTGCAATAATTCAATGATAAAATTAAATTAGTTTAAAATTAACTCAATATTGCTTTAATTTTTGTCTTGAACTGCGTTGAGACCGAAAACATTTTTGCACAAGTCTTTAAATAGTTAATGTAGTAATTATTAATAATTTACATATCCTTTTAGATCAAAGTAAAAATTTTCATTTCTCTCTATACAAACTATAGAGAAGTCTTATCTCTCTCTATACAAAATATAGAGATGTCTCTCATCTCTCTCTATACAAATTATAGAGATGTGCCTCATCTCTCTATAAAAACTACATAGATGTGTCTCGTGTTTTTCTATATAGATTATAGAGATGTGTCTCATCTCTATCTATACAGACTATAGTGATGTGTCTTATGTCTCTCTATACAAACTATAGTGATGTGTCTCATCTTTTTACATACTATAGAGTTCAAATGTGATATTATAGTTAAGATGTATTTTTATTAATGATTTTTTACTAAGCTTTTTAATATATAATTTCTTTAGGTGTTCAAGTTTGGCAAGATTATCCTACTGCCAGATGTATGATGGAGATGATAATTACAGGGTTAAAGTTTTTGTTGTTGTTGTTGTTATTCATTTGATTCATTTTAATTTTTATTACTTTTAAAGTTTGAAACATTGAAAATTTGTACACATTTCTCATTATTATTTCTATTTCTATTGTCATTTTTATCTTATCTAGTTATTATTGTGACTAATCTGTAATTATTACCTGAAAATAAAATTCAAATTTATCACCTGATGATTAAATTTAAAATTATCATCTGATAAGTTAAAAATTAAAAAAAATATTTTCTCTCTGTAGGGCTTATTCCTTCCCTCCACTTGCAGTTCAAGGATTTTCTTCTGAAGAAATACAGGCCAACGAACTTCAGGTAATTTTTTTAGTTTATTATTATTATATAGGTTTTGTTATTATCATATAGATTATTATATAAGTTTTAGGAATTCAAGCATATTCATAGTATAAACATTAGTAATATTTATAATTAACAAAAGGTTTCAAGAGCTGAAAAAGATGATATTATTGAGTTTGAAAGTCATTTAGCTGCTGCAACTAGTGGTGCTATTATAACAGAAAGTACTAGTCTGTTGATTAGCCAACTAATAAGTCTTAAACCACTTGGTCTTCCTCGCCAACCACCAGCTACTGTTATTGACAAGTTAAAACAACTTAATAAAAGTCTTCAGCTAAACGAGTTACTTTGTCAAAGTCGATCTCCTGACTTTTTACTTTATATTATTCAAGCACAAGTTAGTTTTAATATTTTTTTCTTTAAAAAAATCTATTATAATTTAAATAATTTTTGCTCAGCATATATAGAAAAAAATACATTTTCAAATTTTCTTTACAAAGGGTACTTCAAAAGCAATGCCATGGTTAGCTGATCTTGTTCAATCAAGTGAATCTTCATTAAATACTCTCCCTGTTCAGTGTCTCTGTGAATTTCTACTTATGAAGCATGTTGTTAACATAAAAAACAAACCAATAAAGCCAAAAGTTGCATTAAGACTGCAAGATCTTTTAATTGGAAGCGAGGCAACCTTAGAATCTTCTAAGGAGCTTGTAAAATATTTTATAAGTCGTTGGTCATCATCTGACATGGCTGAGCGTGATATATCTGTTGAGGGCTTTCAATCAATTCTTTTACAGAGGCCCAATAGTTCAAGCAACGGGAATGAAGAACAAATGGAAACTGATGAAATTAAAGAGAAAAAGTACAACAAAATGATGATAGTGAAGGACAAAACTTATACATGGATTCAAGAGAAATTAACAATGCTGCCTTATTTTCAAGATCTTCTGCCATATTTAATTAAAGCATTTCAAAAAGTAAGTTTTAATTTTATTTTTCTTTGATGCTAAGTTTAAATAATCAATTCATTGTATCAACATTTCGAAACGCATTAGTAGTGTAGTGATAGAGTGCTCACCTCATAAGCGAGAAGTTTCGAGTTTGATCCCCACCACGTCCCTGATTGTACTGCGCTTAACTTGTTTCTCTAAGCATGAATAAAATTGAAATAAAAATAAACAATTTCACACAACCATTGTTAACATCTGTAAATCAATTGTTAATCATGCTATCCTTTAGTTTATCTTAAAGTTTAAAATTTTGTTTTTATTTTTGAATGAAGTTGAACTAAAGAGAAACTAAAGTTTTTTTTTTTTGTTTCTTGTGTGCTATAGACAGGTTGCCATAATGCTATTTTTTTATATAAATATGACAATGAAAAAGTTTAAACAATAATGAAAAAGTAAGAATGAAACAATAATAAGTTATAGTGAAAGCTAAAAAAAAATTATAAAAAATTTATTCATATCTTTTATTCTTTTTTCCTTTAATAATATTTTTGATTCTTATTCCAATAAATACTTTTGTAATAACATTGTTTGTTTTTTTGTCTATATATTTTTTTTAGTTAAGTGTTTTTTAATAAAATTATTACACTATTGTTTTAGCAAAAAAAAAATAATTTGTTATTGTAGGCTTTGTGTGTAGAAGTTAATGTACCACGGTTAGAAGCTTATATTTCGTTTCTGATCCAATATAGCTTGAATCAAGTTCCTCGATTCTTTCATAAGTTTATAAAACATTTATCATACATGATTGTCCGACGTAAAACAATAACTCAAAAGCTTCTTTACAAAGAAGAAAAATATGTCAAATTACTGGAGGTTTTGGCTTTTTATTTTCAATCATCTTTATTGCAAAGTTCTGGTATGAATATAAAAGTAAGTTCTTTTTAATGCTGATATTTTAATTCTGATATTTTTTTGTATTTGTGCCAAAAAAATAAAAAATGGTAGTTATTTATTGTTGTTGCTATTACTACATCACTCTGAAATTTAACAGTTTATTGAGGGAAAAAACAGTTATATTTAGGTTGTGTTTGATGTTTTCCCATCACTTTTTTGCTAGATTTTATATCAGATAATATACATTCATATTACATTCTTGTGTACTATTTACATCTATTTTCTCTGCGTTTATAAGCATACACAGCCCATTATGATAATACACCATATGTAATAAATTACATACAATTTACTAATTTATTACAAAAACTAATGACAAAATACATAAATACATACATTTTATAAATTACAAAGAAGGATTAGAATGGTCAAAAAAGGTAAAATTCTGAAATATTGTTCTCCACAACGATAATTTTGTTTTATAGTATTAGAGAATTTCTGTAAAAATTTGAAGCATATTGAACAATACATAGGGGGCAATACTCAAGGGACTATACTAAGGGTTCAATTAATATTTTAATGCTAATTATTGACTTATTTTAATATTAAAAATTTTGAATAAAAAAATTTTATACTATGTGTCAATTAAGAGCAAATAAAACATTTAAAATAATCAATTATTATTAGGTCTAAAACTATTGATAATTAGCATTACTAGCAAGCAAGAAAACTAAGATTAAAAATAAATTAATTGATTAAGATGGCCGTAAATACACATAAAAAAATGAATCCAGCAAAAGGAAAAGCTGCAAAAAATATTGAAACAAAAAATATTAAAAAGATTAAAAGATAAATTTTGCAGTATCGGTGTAGTCTTAGAGTGCTCAATTCATAAACAAATATATATATTTCGACTTCGATTTCCACCACATCCCTAGTAGTACTGCGCTTAACTTGTTTCTCTACGCAGCAGCCTTGCTTGTCAAGGTTCTTGTTTTAAAGTTATAGAGTTGAGAGAGGGTTATAACCATAATTAAGTAGCCTCCTCATCTGTAGTGACTTTCTCAGCCTTAGGGAGGTGAATTACTGAAAAAAAAAATTTTATCAGAAAAAGTAGGTTGGCTATTGTTATAATATGGGTTTTGAAAGTATGTCATATATGTATAATGAACAAAGTAATTAACAAAATTTGTTCTAATTTGGCAATATCTTATGTAAAGCCACTTTCTGTCATTATGGCTGGCTTAGAGGAAAATTGGTAAGTCTGGTAATGTTGCAAAAATAAAAGTAAGCAAAAAATATTTTCGATTCTTATTTTTGGTTTTTATTTTATTTGTGGATGAGAGGAACGCTGCCATAAATTTCATAAATTTCATTTTGTTGACTTCAAGTTTTAGTAACAAACATCTCATTACCATGCTTGTGGATTTTTGAACAAGAAACTCTTCTCCTTTCTTTTGATACTAAGGACTTTAAAAAGATAAAATGTTTTATTCTCAAGCCTTTCATGATTGTTGAAGTCTGTACTACACATACTTATTCTTTTCAGAGTTGACCATGCCTTTTAAAGCTGAGATTGGCTGTCATAGCTTTTTTGGCATCTAGATGGATTCAGTTGTCATAGGTCCTCAATATGTTCTGAGTAGAACCATATGTAGTGTAAATACAGTGCACAAAACATCAGCCTTGATACAGCTATTCTTGAAATAGCCTATCTTCTTTGTTTGTAGAGATGTCCAAAGCATTTATTGCCACCGTGCCAAATTACTTATTTTTTAAAATGCAAATTACTTATTTTTAAGGCTTTTTTTCTAAAAATAAAGTTCAAAAATACTATATATTTAAAAAAAAATTTCAATTTAACAAAAATATTTGCTAATAGCAAGATGACTGCTGTTTACAAATAGCACAAATGGCTATTTTTAAATACAATAAATGCATATAAGTATCACAAGAGGCTGTTTGTAAACAGTAGGGTTTTTCAGATAAACAACTAAAAATTATGTATAATTTTTGTAAATACTGCTTAAATGTTTGTCAGGTCAAGTTATCCTGCTGCTAGTAACATGTAACCCAGTATAACCTCCTTCATAGTTTGCTGCTTGCTCTATTTTTAGACAATGACTAGGAGAAACCAAATCTGGCTTAAAACACCCCCTGCCTTGGGACTCTTGGTTGAGTAAAGGCTAGAGATGGTGTCTCTACAAAAATACTTATCGCACCCTTTCTTCATCTATTAGGCTGGTGTTGATAAATTTCTACTTTTGGTGTGCATTGTCAAAGCCACATTTAGGGCTCTCTTTCTCTTCCAGTATCTTCTAACTCTAATATTGGTTGCTTGCTGCCTTGTTGGAAATGATGTTGAAAAAAGAAAAAGAAAAGTAGTCATAATTTAGTTTGACCCCTAAAGTTAGTCAAGTTGGACAAGTTTTTGTGGTAATTTTTTTAATAGTAGAACCAAGGCCTTTTGAAGAATAGTTTAGTACTTTGAATTTTTATTATGTAATTCTGGACAATCCTAGTAAGGGTATCATATGAAAAGTGAAAACAAGAAAATAGAACATTTAAGTTCTTTTTAAACTTTATTTTTTTAAGTTTAAACATGTTTTGATAAAAAGATGCATAAATTTTAAACATATTTTTATAAAAAGACTTCAAAATTATTAAATAAAAAAACAAAAGATTTTTCGTTTCAAAAATAATGAGAGAAAATAATTATACAATGCACAGCAGGGTTTCTAACAGCTGTTAACAGGGTTTCTAACAGCTGTTAACAGAAACCGTAAAACAGCTGTTTTTTTGCTACCAGGTTTCCTGTATTTGATTTTTATCTTTATGTTTTTTTGTAACAAAAAATTTTAAAAAAAAATTTAAATTTAAAGAAACATTTTGATTTTTGAATGATTTCTAGGTTTTTAATACAGATTTTAAAACAAATCAATTTT